TATTTATTTATTTATTTATTTATTTATTTATTTATATTATAATCATAAATAATTTAATATATTCAATAAGTTGATAGAGATTCATTTAATCCTAAATAAAAAATTTTATTAGATACATAATACATATAAATAATGTAATTAATATCATAAACTTTGAATATGATTTAAATTACAAACGAAGATCCTATAAAAGTTTTAAATATAATTACTTCTCAAATAATAACATTTAAGATTTTAAAAGAAAATTATTTGATATTAATTTCAGATGAATATAAAAATTATATAAATTTAGATTAAAACTAAGAAAGTCTAACATACTATGTAAATTATTTAGAATATCCTTCTTCCGTAATTAAATATGATAAAAGCTTCCCTTATCCTAATAATCATAATTTTATCATAAATGAAAAGACAATAACTTTTCTTTCAAATTAATTACAAACACCAATTAATATTCCTTTATAAAACTTTTACGATTTACCTTAAGCCATAGATAATGCTGATGATTATTTTTGTATATAAAATATTTAAGATAAATGGATTACTTAAGATTGCTTACTTTTATATTTAAGAAATGATTAAAATAAAATTAATTAATTGATATGTTAATGTAAAACCCAAGGAAAACAAACTCTTGTTAATGACATAAATGGAATATTTAAAAAAGATATTCGTTCAAAAGATTGGTATTTATATGATAATGTATTGATTTTAATCATTACTACTATAATTTATATAATTTAATTTATATATTTATAATAAATTGATAAAATTTAATATTAATAAATGGAATAAAGCATGATAAAAAGAAATTAAATTAAAGATATTATTTTTAAAAATAATATTTCAAGAGAAATAAGATAAATATTATTAGCCAAAATTTTTAAAAATGATGAATAATTTATAGAAATAGAAAATTAATATTTTGGGTAAACTCCAAATTAAAAATAAAGTATTCAAAAAAATAAATATAAATAAATTTTTATTGATTAAAATTTAAATTAATTTTTAATTTAATTTAAAAGCATTATCATCAAAAATGAAAAATAATTATAAATAATAATTATTAAATAATTTATTATCAATTAATATAATATATTTTTTTTAATTTAATTTTTAAAGATACTTATGATGAATTAAAATAGAACAAAAAGTTTTTATAGAGTAATTAACAAATTAAATCCGAGATTTTAAATGAATTATAATATCAAAATATTACAATAAAAAATGAAATTGATGCAGTATCAAATAACAAATTATAGAACCTATAATATTAATAATCAGAATAATCAGAATAATAAAAAAAGTAAAAATAATAAACAATAGAACCTAATATATTAGTATAAAGAAATAATAAAAATATTAACAGATAAGTACATCAATTTTAATAAAAAGAAGACAAACAAATCATATCATAATATAATTTAGAAGATTTTATTAAAATTAAAATTAGTAAATTATCTTCTTAATAATAAATTAAAGTTGGTATATAAAAAACTAACTATGAAAATGACATATAACCTCAAAACAATTAGTATAATGTTTAAGATGCAAAAAATTATGTTTAGATTAAAAGAAAAAACGTTAATCTAGTTTAAATAAATTATAAAGTCCATAAATCTAATTAGATAAAAATATAATAAACGACTAAAACTACGAAGAAAATTTAAAAGATTGTAATAAATAAGATTAAACAAGAGAACAAAAAAACGATAAACCAAAATAATAATAATAATAAAATATAGTTGAATCAAATGTAAATAGTAAATAAAATAACTTTTTATTTTAAAAAACTAATAAAATTTATAATGAAAATTAAGTAAATGAACTTAATATCTTTTAAAACAGAAGTAGATTTATTAAAGTTATAAGTTTACATGAATTAATTTAAATATTTATTTGCTTTAATTAATTTTTGAGTAGAACTTTTAGAATAACTTTATAATATGTAAAATATATAATACTTATTACTGCTAATTCTATTATATTAAATGATTATAATTTTATCTAAAAAATACTATTAAATTCATTTTTATTATTAATTATTAATTAATTAATTATTTTGGCAGAAAGTATTTATAAATATAACAATAAAATATTTAAATTTTTACTTTGTTTCTTCTTAATTTTTATAGTTGCAGTTTGTTATTACTATAATTGTATTAATATTTTTTAAAAAATAGATAATTAATAAAATAACTGGTAACCTTTTTATTTTGCAGTAATATTTTTTGATATTTTTATATATTAAATTACTTCTGCATTTATTCAATATAAGTTAATATAATAAATAAAGTATAGAGAATTTGATTAATTAAAGTCATGGATAAAAATATATTTATTTAATATATTTAATATAGAAAATTATATAATGAATATTTATAAGAAAAAATATGTTTGAATATTTTTTTATTTTTATTATTAATGTTTTTTTTTTTAATAAATAAATAATTATTATATTTTTAAATGCTATATATAATAATTTTTTAATATTTTAAAATCTTACTTTTATTTATTTTATATGAATAAAAATAATATAATATAAATATATTGAATATAAATTTATTAAATATAAAATATTTTTAAAAAAAATATGAATAAATATGAAAGAAAATAATATTATATTAATTTAGATAAAAAAAAACATTAAAATTATTAAATAATGATCTATTATATATTAAAAAAAACTAAAAAATTAATATATAAAATTAATTATCTCTATATATATTTTTTATGTATCTAATTTTCTTGATTTTTTTACTTCTTTTAATTTTTCTCAAATTCATATATATGTTTATAACCCATATAGAGCATTTAATTTCTATAAGCTAATCGTAAACCCTCATTTTATGTTTTGCAGAAGAGATTACGTTTTTTTAAAATATTTCATTTATATTAACTATTTTAAAATTCTAAAATACATACATATTTTTCAGATATTTATTTATATACCATTATATAATTATAAACACTTAATCCTAACTTTTTTTAGCATTCTTAATTTTTTTGCATAACTTGTTTGAATTTTTTTTTGATAAATAGTATTAGGATAAATAAAAATTTATAAAATAAATAATAATGATAAGAAGTAATTTAAAAATTATGAATTTTATAAAAAAATATTTTTTTTAAAAAAGTTTTTTATATTAAATGGTATTTATACTATTTTTCTTTTTAAAAATTCTTAAAATATATGTATTTTTTTTAATTTGTTAATATTAACACTTGTATTTAGTTTAAAAATAAGTTTTTTTCTAAAATTAATAGTCATAAATAATTACTATACTTTTTTTTTTCAAATTTATAAAAGAAAAATATTTACACAAAATCAGGATATGTAATATATCGTGATAAAATGAAAAATTAAAATTTATTTTATTATTTAATAATTCGAATTATAATATACTGTCTTCTTTTTTTATTGAATAAATACATAAAAAAAACCAAGAATTAATCGAAAAAGTAAATTAATTTTTTGAGGCAAAAATAAATAAATAACTAATCAACAATTGCATAAACATTATTATTTAAATTTCTCATGGGAAAATAATTTTCTTATAATTCGAAAGAATAGTCAAATATATTATCTAAATATATTCTTTACATATCAACGTTTCTAAATATGCATTAATTCGTTAATAATCACCTTTTTTAAACTTTGATTAATTTAATTAATTAATTAATTTTTTGACAAATAAAAATTAATTTTATGCGCAGTTAAGTCACTAGGCGTGATAATGCCATATTGATTGTTTTTTAGAACATAAAAATAGTAAAAGCCTTCGGTAAAGAATAAAAAGATATTCTAAATTACGCACAACAAATAGACTAATAAATCTAAAATATGGCTAATAATAAAATACGCCTAAATCTCCAAAATATGAAATGTTATTTCAAGAAAAACAATATATTGAAAACATATGTATTATGTATTTATTTTACATATTTTATAAAGTAAAATATAAATCGATAATCTCATATACTTTTTGACTAATTTTATGCAAAACATCTACTTTTTTTGAAAGTTTTTATTTTTATAAAAGACATAGCTAGTTTTGACGATTTATTTATTTATTTCTAATTTTTGAAGTGAAAAGACTCATGTTATTACCTGAAAATAAGCCTTAATAATGTATTTCTGTTGAAGTTATTGGGCTAAAAGAAATAGAAGAGGCAATTTTGAAAGATAAAATCAAATTCGAAGTCATTAATTAAAAGACAATAATGTATAATGCATTCATAAATATAAACTTATAAATAAAAAAGGAATATTTATATTTTAATTAGATAAAAGTAGAAGCTGTGAATTTATATATAAGTATATAATAAATATAATATTTTAATTTAATTAAATTAAGGTATCCAATAGATTTAGTAATTTAGGAGTCTTCTCTTTTTACAATACGAGTATTATTAAGAATATTATTATGGAATAAATATGAAAAACGAGAATGTTTTCTATTTTATTAAAGAAATTTGCCATTATTTCAGAGTTTACAAATTTATTTTGAAAAAAAAGTAAATTTCAATTTTGCTTAAATACCCAAACATAAATCAAATTAAGTAAGTTATAAAAATAAAAAATAGCGATAGCTAGGGCCCTTATTAAAAAACAATAAATTATTGGTTTGATGAGGTTACAAGTTACAAGTAGATTCGGAAAGTGAATTTTAAATTTAGTATTATTTATTTATTATAATTAATCATGATGTTACTTTTGTATTTAAAAAAAGTAAAATTTTAGAATAAGGGAAATATTTATATTTTTTATATGAATTATTGTATACATATGCAGATATTTAGATATTTAGGTAAAAAAATATATAATATTAGTTCAAGTTGTTACATTTGTATAATTAAAAAAATGCATAAGCAAAAAATTTAATAAGTAAATTGTAAATTAAAGTAAATAATAAATAATAAATAAATTTAATTATAAAAAAATTAAACTTAATAAAATATAAATAAATTTCGGGTTTTGTAAAACTCAAAATATAAAACAAACAAATCCAATTTAAAAATATAATCCCGCATGAAGAACTTATATCAAACCGCTCGAAGATTTTTAAATTGTATCTGTAGTTCTAACACTAACTTTCACATTATTTTATCCATTTTATTCATTTTAACCAGTTTAACCAGTTTAGCCAGTTTAACCAGATTATACAATTTATCCAGATTATCCAGTTTATCCATTTTAGCCAGTTTAATTAGATTATCCAGATTATTAAACAAACACATTTTATCCTTTTAATAAGGTAGTAGTATATCCATAAAGAGGATCATTTTAGGCTATAATAAGAGGCTAAGCATTTGCTATAGGAGCAGGAGTATAAAAATAATCAACAGTATTATCTTTATTAACCTAAGTATAAGCGACTCTTCCATCTTAAAGGATTCTCATTAAATCATTAGCCGAAATAATATCAGTTATTTTAGTTTCTTGAAGTATTTTAGAACCATCATTTGAATTAATTAGCATTATATAGCAATCATCTTTATCTGAAGTTTAATCATTATTAAAAGTAGTTTTATTACCACCTGTACTTACTAAACTAAATAAAATAAGGATATTTTTTCCATAATTAACACTTTTAATAACATTTGCTCTTTTTCCTAAATCTCCCGTTAATAATTAAACTTTATTAACTTTATTCATTTCAATTCCTTTATCAGTAATTATAGGTTCTATCAATTATAAAGATAATTCATTTATAGGATTATATAATTTATTTAAGCTAGTAGAAACAGTTTCTTATTCTTTCCTTTAGAAAAGTATCCATTTTTAATTAATACCAAATTTTTTAGTTATTCCTCCAAATCTACCTCCTGCTTTTCCAGTTCCGTTAGAAGGAATTCCATTATCATTTACTAAGTCTTTATTGTCAGAAAACCATACATTTTGCAACGTAAGTTCACATTACCTTATTT